ATAACTTACAATATAATACAATCATCATCAAAGATAATCATAATTGCTGGGAATATGCATTGAAAAGAATGAATATTATTCAATTATCGACTTCTGATATGCTAATATCTAATCAATAATCTTTCAGTATGTTATCGTCAATATCGATCAAGAAATAAGAAAAGGGAACTCACTGTAATACTTGATGCTGAGAATTCTGCATTGTACCAAAAACTATTATATTAAATAAAGCTAATAATAAAGAAACTTTATCATCAATCGAATGTGTTAAAGGACTAACGGCAGAAGGTGTAAAAAGATCAAAGAGAAGAGAAAAAGACAAGAACAATGAGTGATTAGTTATGAAAACGAAGGAACAAAAAAATCTGAGATAATTGATGAATATTTTGCAAATGAAATATTGACTGTATATTTCTCAGATTTCGCTAAAAGATTCTGTAATCTCATATACAGATATACTTAGTATTCCAGAACCTTTGTTCTCGTTCACTACAAGACAATCAGTATAATTACTACTACTACTACGACTACTTCTACTACGCCTAATACTACTACTACTACTACTATGACGAATACTACTAGGGTTACGGCTACGACTACTACTACTACTACAACGACTACTACTACCAACACTACTACTACTACTACTACTACTACTACTACTACTACTACTACCAACACTACTACTACCACCACTACTACTACTACTACTACTACTACCACTACTACTACTACTACAACGACTACTACTACTACTGCTAGGGTGACGACTACGACTACTACTGCATCTACTAGTAGGGCTACGACTACTACTAGGACAAAGACGATTACCATTACTAATACTACTGATATTACTACTAATAATAATCCTAATAATAACATTACTTAACCAAATGTTAATTATTTCACCCGTTTTTCTTGAACATTCATGATGAATAAACCAGATATACACATGATGTTTGTATAGAAATCTAATGAAGAAACTTTCTTCACTAAGTTTAAGCACATATGCTACATCTTGTAATTCATTAAAATGATCTATTACCTTATTGAATGAATACTATTCAATATTCAATATACTTTTATGTATATATATATATGATGATCTAGTAGGCGCCATTTTAATATCCTATTCTTCTAGAATTAGAAACATCATATATGAAAATGTATATCATTCATACATGAAAATGATAAAGTTTTAGTTGTTATATGGTTATTATTCACCTTTTTTTTCTTCTTTTTAATGGTTATTTATTTAAGTAGTTTATAAGTAGTAAATATTTATTCCCCGATAACCCCCACTTCCTTCTACCTCATTAATATGTTTTTGATGTCACTTATTTATTTGTATCAGAAGGGGTTTTGTGGATATTATAGTAGTTTCAATAGTTGATATCATGAATCAATTAAAGTTAGATCAACATGGAAAACCCAAAAGTGCTGGATGGCCGTTTCGTCCTAATGTAGGACTCTTCAGTAGTGCGCATCCACAATTCCATCTCGCGAGATTCGAACTACGGACCTGTTAGTCTTGCGTGCAAGTACTTAACCACTAGACCACTGAGTTAGCCGGCATCCAACACTGTTAATGTCCAACTTCAACTAATCCACGAAATTGAGCGACATATCCATAACTGTCATCAGTGAGTTACTATCTCATAACAGATCTGGTTGAACTTTACTGGTCAGTGCTTCTCACTTATTAATTTAGACATATATTAGATCGAATTTCAATATAAGTAAAGAGTTACTATGGCAATTAATCATTTGAAAATGTTGTTACTATAGATTATTAAGAAATTATTATATGCATAGAAAGTATCCATTATTATTATTACTAATCCATGCTACCATCTTATAGAATTTTATCAAATTTCATCATCATTTTCACAAAGATATTAAAATAATGAAGAAGATTGAGAATTCAAGTGGATGGATTTAATGTTTTCAAATGATCCAAATGTCGAGTCGGCTTCCGAGAACTCTAACGGAACATACAGAGCCCCCAAAAGAGCCGAAGAGTTCCAGTCAATCAGTACATGATGGAGCGTTCTAGAATATCAATGTGGCATGCTATTATTAGTCAGTAGCATAATATGTCACTTAGCGGATTAGCTAAAATATAATGTTAATTTAACAAATGCTAATATCTATAAATACCCGTGATTTTCTGTAAACTTTGATTCTTATCAAATAAACATTTCTCCGGCTTTTTCTTCTGTCTTCTGATTTTGTTGAGGTGAAGTTCCAGCGTTCAAGTGTCGTAGTCGTAAACTGTATTCTGGGTTAAACAAGTAGCGAGCTTAATACTAAACAACAAAGTGAACTTGTGAATCATTCATTGTCTTTCTGGGCTATATCATCAATTCTTACATTATTCAGAAGTGAATCCCTTTCATTTGGCTTAATAAAAGATAAGTCTACATAACACATAACTTATCAATTTCTACGAACGCCATCGTGTTATCCGCTTAAGGCAATGTTGAGGCAATACACACAGGATGCACATATGCTAATAAGAGACTGATCAATCGCACGCCTAAACATCAATGGAAAAATACAGTTAAACAATATTAAGTGAATTTTAACTTCACTCCATTGCACAAGCAAGTGGCTATCAGGACTCAGTAGGTAAGTGGATAACACGATGGCGTTTGAAGCGAACGGTATTGGGATCGAGTCACAGAGTGAACATCAACTCTGAGATGCAGGTACATCCAGTTGACGAGTCCCAAATAGGATGTTGTATCGCGTATCCTGTATTCCACTTTTAGCCACTATCCATCTTTGCTTAATTAATCATAATTTTTAAAACTAAATATCGTATCTGCAATTTGTTAACGGACTGATAGAACTCTATTCATCAGTTGATATGTCTCAAATGTGATAAAATAGCTGAGAGGATAGATTTTAAAGGAAAGGGAATATTAAAAAGGACGTATCCAGCGGTTAAGTTGATGTCTCTATTATCAAATCAAATGCTCACTTCAACAAACAAATGTAAACAAATACCTGCCTTGTGTTACCTCCGCTTTTGTTTACCAGTTTACATGTAGGTGCCAAAGTAGATACATTGAAAAAACACAAAAGAACATTTATGTTTACATATGTGAATGTATTCCACAAACGTTGGAACTAAACGGACAGATGGTTTTCAATACTGTAATCACTTTTCATTTACTAGACAATCGGGATAATTTTGAAGTTGTAGAATCTTTAGTGTAATAAAACTTTGTAATATCTTAATTTTAACTTCTGCACTTGACTCAACTAGCCTATATTACATATTACATTACAAAGGAAAAACATATGGAACTTAAAACAACTGTCATTCAATAATAACGTTAGAATAATCAATAAGAACTTCAAGACAGTCTATTGTATGGAGCTGATCAATTACAGTCCTGAATAACAATAAGAAGATACAAGTAAAACAACACTAAGTGAATTTAAACAACTTCCATTTCAATAACTGAATCCATAAGTCGATTAAAGCTAGAACACCATGGAAAGTTCTAGCACAGAATTCCTTAACAGTGCGTATTCACGGTCCCGCACCGAAGAGGTTAGAACTCAGGACCTATCGGTCTGGTGCACGAACACCTAACCTCTAGACAACTGGTTTGGCCTATATCCAACGGTGTTAAAGTCTAACCTCAACTAATCCACAAAATTGCGGCATCGTCCATCATTGTCTTCAGTGAGTTACTGTCTCATAACAGATTCGGTTTATTTTCACAAAACAAATATTATAACTAACATGAAACTCAAATAGTATATTAAGTAGTATATCAGTCATGATATTTTAATAGTTGAATCCATTAGCCAATTAAAATTAGACTACTATGAAAAGCTTTGAAACTCTAAAAGACTGTTTCGTTCTGGTACAACATACATCCACGATCCCTCACCGAAAAGATTCGAACTCAAGACCCGTTGGTTTCGTCTGCGTGAATTCTCAATCTCTTGATCACTGATTCGGTCATCTCTAAAGTGTTAATATTTAACTTCAATCAATCCACATATACAAAAAATATTGTTTTCGATAAATAAACAGTATAGTAACTAACATAATTATCCAATTTACTTACTTGAAATGATTTTTCATTTATAGGGCAACTAGTTTTTGTAATCTAACTGTTTTTTTCATTATTAATTCATAATTTACGATCCCGCCCCTCGTAAGATTCGAACCCAGGACCTACCAGTCTCGCGCGTGAGCGCTTGACCATTAGATCATTAGTGAAAAGTCGTTACCAGTAGAGTTCAACCAGATCTGTTGTGACGTATCAGCTCATTGAAGACAATGGTGTACGGTGGCGCAATTACGTGGATTGGTTGAAGTTAGAAATTAACACCGTTAGATACCGGCTCAGTAGTCTAATGGTTAAGCGCTCATGTACAAAACTAATAGGTCTTGGGTTTGAATCTCGCGAGGTGACATCGTGGATGCGCACTACTAAGGAATTCCATACTAGGACAAAACGGCTGTCCAATGCTTTCAGGTTTTCCATGGTGGTCTAAGTTCAATCGACTCATGATTTCAACAAGTGAAATTTCTAAAATCTTCAGAAAACCCTTTCTGATAAGAATTCACAATTTACTTGATTCTTCTTCTTATTATTGATGATGATGATACTCTAGAGGTGACAATTTGTAGATTTTATAAAATGCCTATAAACATCTTACATTTTATGTTAATTGAATTCATGAATCGATTACAGTTAGACTACCATAAAATACCTGGAAATCCTACTATATAAAACTCCTCAACAGTGCGTATCCATGATCTTACATCTGGAACTCGAACTCAAGACCTATTAATTCCAGACGCACGCATTTAACCTTTAAATCACTCATTTGATCAACATCAGAATCTTCGATCTGGCACGCAAACACTCATGAATCGAGATCTAAAGGTGTTCATATCTCATTTCAATCAATTCACATACACACACACACACAAAGATGAAATCAATAAACACCATAGTAACTAATTATTAACTTACTTGAAATGATTTCTCATTAATAGGACAATTAATTTTTTGTAATATACATATAATTTTTTTCATTAATAATTCATAATTTAATTGATTATTATGTTTATTGATTAAATCAATTTGATTATTGATTAATAATTGTATTGATAATTTATCACAATCTTTATATTGATTTTTAATAAATAATAAATAATTATAATTTTTTATTATAGATTGAGTACATAAATGATATTCTATACCTTTATTAAACCAATAACCATTATAATTATGATTATTGATTATCATTGTATGATTGGTTATTGATTTTTTCATTGATTTTTCATTCAATAATTGATTATTTATTGAATAGACATAAATGAAATTATTTAATAATAATAATATATCATTAATAATAAATAAATAAATTATATAATATTTAATTATCATATTTATTTTTTTTTAAAAATAATCATACAATTTTCATTTAAGTAAATAAGTAGTTTAGATAGATTGGATGCATTAAATGAATTATTCTGATTGATATGTATATATATGTATATATAAGTGTATTGTATATTATTTAATTCTTCATTCATTCATTCATTCATTCATTAAGAATGAAGTTTCTTCAGTATTTATATATATATATATTAAAGTTACCCAACAACAACAACAACAACAACATTTTTTTCAAGTTTTTTTCCCTACTTTTGTAACTAGGAGGACCGAACACACACACACACACACACACAGAGTGTTTTTTCTTTTTTGGTTTTACAATCTAGTTTCATTAAGTAAATATACAAACCAATAGCAAGTTGTTGTTGTTGTCGTTATCGTTGTCGTTGTTGTGGTTGTGGTTGTTGTTGTTATTACTAATTTTTTTTTCATCTTAACTATATTTAATTTTCCTATTTCAATGGTTTATTATGATTATTGTTTATAATGATTGGATAAATTGAATACGGTGCCATTATCATATTTGAGAAGAGAATATAGAAAACAAACAAACAAACAATCAAAATAAACTTTAAAAAATTGTTATTATTAACCATATGAATTATGTGAATGAATAGGGTGTTAATAGGGTGTCTTCTGTAGATGGATGTACAATATGTTAAAGGTAAAAAAAAAAGTTAGATAGACCTATGGGGAATGTAATTCACTTATAACCAATAAAATCTTTTATGTGGTATAATCAAACGGGGAAAAGTGTTGTAATGTATAGGAGATATGTAAACTATAATATAGAATATTACTGTTATCTTAATTGGCGCCATTTTTGTTCATGAATATAGAATAGTAGACGCCAAATAAAAATATGGATACATACACACATGTATATATGCACGCACGTATGCACGCATGCACGCACACACACACAAACAAACAAATAAATAAATAAAATACACATAAGAATTCATTTCGATTTATAAATGTACATGTAATAAAACCTAACAGTCTGGTGCGTGAGGTGATGTTGTGGATACGTACTGTTGAGGAGTCCTATACTAGGATGAAACAGCCGTTTAGTGCTTTCAGAATTTCCATGGTGGTCTAGCTTCAATAGATTCATGAATTCAACTATTCAAATTACTAAAATCTCTACAAAACCCCTTCGGATATTAATCGACATATGCACACTAGTGACTGGTTTCAAGAGATATTTTATGGCGTTCTGGTGAGAAGCAGTGACCAGTAGAGTTCAATTGGGTTTTTTGTGAGATAGTAACTTACTGAAGACATTGGTAGATCTGTCACTCAGTGATCTACAGGTTAAACGTTCGCACACCAAACCAATAAGTTCTGGTTTCAAATCCCACGAGGCGGGATCGTGGATGTACACTGTTGAAGAGTACCACAACGGGACGAAACAGCTATCCAGTAATTTCAGGTTTGTCACGATGGTCCAGCTTCAACTCAACTATTAAATAAATAAGCCTCTTTCTTTTTCTTTCTCTCTATATACTGATATAGAACAAAACAATTCTCTTCTGATTTTTATTTCTATTCAAATTTATAATAGAAGAACATTGTTTCAAACGCCATCGGCGTTATCCACTCGACTACTGAATCCTGATAGCCACTTACTGTGCAATTGGATGAATTTAAATTCACATGGTAGTGTTTGCTTGAATCTTTCCATTGAGGTTTAAGACTGCTATTGATCAATCTGTTATTGATATATATGTGCATCCTGTGTAGATTGTCACGATATTGCTTGAAATTATAAACTTTATAAGTAGTGATGGATAGTGGATTCCTGGAGTGAACATCAACTCTAGAATACAGGTATATCCAACTGAAGAATGCCAAATAAGACGAAATGCATGTTCTGGATTCCACTATTAGCCATCATACATCGTTGCTTATAATTCTATATAAAGTTAGGTCTTTTGAATAACTAAAACGTAGATAATTGTCTTCGTAATTAGGTTTCATCTTAAATGTAGATAATTTAATATACAACACTAAATTCGATGAGATAACTAATGGCTTTTAAAGATTCATTCGTTTCGCAATCATAGTCATTATATCATACCATGTATGGGTATGAGATCATATTTAAATCAGAAATCGATAAGACTATAATTTATGGACGACCATCTAGAGACGCTAAATTCACTTAGAGAATGTCCATCCTCTAATTAGAACTAAATGAGGTTTATAAATCAATGTAAGGAATAAGAATTATGACTTAAAGTTGATAGAGCTAGGAATTAGATTTAGGAGTTTCATTCACGAACTGACATCATTTAAAATGTTAAAATGCTACGTAGGGCTGCAATTCGATTTCGTAAACGTGGCAATCAGCTTAGCAACCAATCAGAATGAGGCGGGAATCATTATGCCCGCCATCTTTGTAAGGAATGGTGGTCGGCTTTCTTCGTTCTGTGCTTTTTTCAGCTATTTCTTTTGTGTCGCTACATAATTTAATGTTTCAGTGTGCTAAAGTGCCGCAGTTATTGTAATGTTCTAAATGTTGGCGTAAAATTTATTTCGATTCAGCGGTGTTTTCTGGGTTTTTGCTGTTGCTACTCAAGCCAATGTATTTCTTCAGGCAACCTGGTTAGTCTTATGTTATAAAATGTTAATCCATTTTGTTTTGAGTACTTTTTTTCAGATATCGAGAGCCGAAGTTAGTTTTCTTAGCTAAAATAAGTTATGCTGCTGCATGGAACTCTAATTGTCCTCATATTCGTTCCTAAGTGTCATTTATTGTTATCAGGCGGAATGGAAGAAAACAGTCTCCGATTTGTTATTTCCTGTAGTATTATAGATCACGCTACTCCATCAACGAATCAAACTAATACTGAGTGTCCAGTAGCTATGGATACCAGTAATGTTTTCGAAAGGGTTATGAGACTCAGCTGCCTGACAAGCTGGGACCAAGTTAGAGAAGCTATCGATCTGTTGCAGAAGGTTTGTTATTAATAATACACCATATAAAAGTAATAGATGAGTTGGACTCATTACGTAGTACATGAAAGCAAGCGGAACAAAGAAAAGCAGGAAATTCACTACGAGTATTTAGTGTATGTATGTTCTTTTGGTCATAAAAAGAAGCCAGAGGGCCATGGTCAGAGAGTAAAAGGGTAAATGACTATTATTATTCTTAATTTTCATAGATCAAAGTTTACTGGTTGCAAGGCCACGTTTCGTTTGTGGTATGATGTCAAACGTTTCGTCATAGCGTCATCGAAGATGATACATAACCGTCCGTGTTATGAAATATGCTTAAAAATGATCCTTGATTCAGAAGATTAAATCAAGATCAGTTGAACGTTGTTATACCTATGGTTAAGACTGGGAGTAATCCAGATTGGAAAGACAATAACGGTGAAATTTGTTAATGATTTGAAATACAAAGTTGTCGAACGTAAGCTTATCCCATATATCTACTGTTTTTTTTAAGTCGTTGAAGTTTAAGCGACGTACTTTCGACGTTACGCAACAGTGGGAAAGTATTCGTTTGTTATGGTGGTGTGGTTAACCAGGTCATAAGAATAGCATTTAGTACGTACAAGCAAATGGAAACGTATAAGCAAATCCCTGAAGTTGTTTGCTTGGATTCAACATACGACACGAACAGGGGCACTTTTTTTCTTATTTTTAATCAGACTAATTTGAATCAGTATACTCATTAAAAACAGACAGCTCTAGTTACTAAACTGATCTGTTTCGTTACAGGCTTCAAGCACTATACTTAAGTATACTATAATTCTATAGACTAAACTGACTTATACAACAACCAAGAATACTAAACTAAGCAAGTGTCATAATTATTGTTTCATTTGCACAGACATGTTACTCAAAGTAGTTAAGTGAATAGAATTCAGCCGATAAACCTAAAACACGAACTATAGGCCAGTTGAACTTACCTAGAAGAAGACAAAGGAAATATATATTGCTATGAGACTGAAGACAACAGTCAGTTGTTCATAAAAACATAGTTTACAACACAACAAAACTTTCTTCAGTAACATTATACACTGTCGGTCTATCTGGAAACAATCAACGATGTGATTAAACCTACTATGACTTGGGATATCATTCCAGCATGCAATAAACGTACAGTGTAACGCAGTCGGACATGGCGAATAAAAATTACAACTAGAGTAAAATTCACAGCATAATCTGGTTATTTAATAAAAAAAATACCTTATAAAATGACAAATTCTATGACTACATGAACTCAGACATGACCTTTATTACACTAGGCGATACATTCGGCTTACATGGAAACGCTGAGGATAAATCCACCCCTATATAGCTAAATGAATGAATGAATTACGCGCCAAAACTCAAGATCTCTTATCTTATATCTGATTGATTCATCATTATATTATTGTCTTACACAGAAATCGATATTATTATTTAATTTTCTTCTGGAAAATTACCATCTGAACAACATAGTATTATTCTGAGTTTATTCAGTACAACATTTCCGGTACAATATGGAATACTCAGCACAAAGTATTTCAACAAGTTTCCATTTCCTATATCTTGATCGATTCTGACAATAATATATTGGTTGAAATCATCAGTCAATTGAGGCTAGACCACCATAGAAAACCTGGAAGCGCTGGACAACCGTTTCGTTCTTGTATGGGACTCCTCAGCAGTGCGCACCCATGATTCCGCTCCTCGCGAGATTCGAACCCAGAACCTATCAGTTTCGCGCCAGGAGCTTGATCAAATAGACCACTGAGCTGGCATCCAACAATGTTAATGTCTAACTTCAACCAATCCACGAAGTTGCGCCACCGTATACCATTGTCTTTAGTGACTGATAGGTCCTGGTTTCGAATCTCGCAAGGAGCGGGATCATG